TCCCTCGGAGGGTGACTGAGCACTGGAACAGGCTGCCCAGGGAGGTTGTGGAGTCTCCTTCTCTGGAGGTATTCAAGACCCCCCTGGACAAGGTGCTGTGCAGCCTGCTCTGGGTGACCCTGCTTGGGCAGGGGGTTGGGCTGGGTGACCCACAGAGGTCCCTTCCAACCCCTACTGTTCTGTGATTTTGTGATTCTGTCCATGGAAGTTGGCATGGCCCAGTATGGGGCCAAGAGATGAAGAAGGACTTCAGGGATCTTCCACCCACACCGAAGGGAACAGCCAGCTGGAAGGATGCTTGACGGAAGAGTCCTGAGGAGAGTGAGATCCATCCCAGGCAGACAGCAAAAGGGCCCCTGGTTTTCCTTCTGGGAATATGTTGGGGGTAAGCATGATGCGAAGTATTGCTGTAGGGGACTCTAATGGAATCATAGACTCATAGAATCACAGGATGCTTTGGGTTGGGAGTGACCTTTAGAGGCCATCCAGCCTGACTTCCTGGCAGTGAGCAGGGACATCTTCAGCCAGATCAGGTTGCTCAGAGTCCCATCCAGCCTGGCCTTGAATGTTTCCAGGGATGGAGGATCGACCACCTCTCTGGGCAAGATGTGACAGTGTTTTACCACACTCATCGTACAAAATTCCTTCCTTCTATCTAACCTGAATCTCCTCTCCCTTAGTTTAAAGCCATTAGTCCTTGTCCTATCACAACAGGGCTTGCTAAAAAGGTTTTCCCAGTAGGGGAAAGGAGATGTCCCTTTGACTCTGTGAGCTGGAAAGTAGCTACAGAAATTGCCTCTACTTGGCACGCCGTGATGAGCATTTCCCCTCCAACCCAGTGCCACCAAACAGCCCCCTCAGCAGATGACCCCTGCGCTGGGAGCTCTGAGCATCCAAAAACTGCCAGCCTGGCCAGAAAGCAGGTGATTTTAAAAAAACAAACCCTTTCTTATAAAAATGGACGAGATGGGTGGATCCCCTGGAGAAGCCCCAAGCAGAGCGCGGGGCTGGGGCTGTCCGGGCTGTCGTGCCTTTGTTTTTTGCCAAGTGTCCCTCTGCCATCTCACAGTGTACAGGGCTGCTTACAGCGAATGCTCGTGGTGTCCTGGCCGAGATGACCCTGCCATCCTTCCAGGCACCTTCAGGGCTGTATCTGCTGGACTGTGAGCTCGTGCCTCTGTCGGCATTATGGACCACTGCCCGACTGTTGTAAACAGCCTCTGGGCCTGCCCAGCATGGCAGGTTTCCTTAAAATGTCTTTGTGGCTGACTAATCTTAAAAGTAAAAAGCCCTTGGAAGTCTTTCACAGGGAGTTTAATCTCATGCTTTTTCCTTCTGTCAGCTGATAGCTGCCCTGTGGCACTAATGCAATT